GCGACCTGGAAGCTCGTCCTGATGTCCACGATGTCGAGCATTTCCTGAGCCCGGCCTGAATTGGTGAACTGTGAAGAGGTCGATCGAAACCTGGCCGCCGAACTTGTGAACCTTCTTCAGCCGTGCTGGAAATTGAGCATGACCGACAGCAGGTCGATTTATCTCGTGACAAATGGGGCATTTCGGCTGTTCGCCGCCGCGATGGCCTCATCACTAGCTCCACAAGCTCGAGAAACTCGAACCAGTTGATTCCGTGATGGATGTCGAAGGTTCTCGTGAACTCGTCCAACAGCATTCTGCTCCTCCGTCGAAACCTTCATCGCCTTGGGATTCGTCTGCTCTTCTGCCTCCTCCGTCGCTGGAAATTCCGCGAACCCGCGATCGTCCAGCTCCTCGTGGTCCACGTCCGGCCAGTGCTCGTGCTCCTCCTCTGCGCTGAGCACCTCCTTCGAATCGCACAGCGTCCTCGCGCCCTCCATTATGCCCCTAACCAGCTCCTCGGGTCAGTGCCCCGTCCAATTCGTGACCTTCGGGCCTCCCATCACCAGGTCATGTGCATGACCACCGTCGCACTTCGTCTCCAAATCCACCAACAATCAGCATGCGACGCCTCGAACTTCGTCGGCTGCCGATGTGGTAAGCCACCAGCTGACGTAAGCCCATGCGTACACTGATCCACATGACCAACGTATCCTCTGCGACAGAGTCCTCGAAGTCCAGGATCACTACAAGCTCTGGAACCTCGCGGTTTCTCGATCATCCACGCGCCGCTGTAAATGTCCACAAGACGGGCCACATCACGAAGAAACCGCAGAAACGGACAAACATGAAATTGGCACTCTCGAGTCCGAAGCTGGTCTTTCTGAAAGTAAGTAAGATTGCTCCACGGGCTGCGCGGAAACGCCATCATCGCGAACTTCGGCTGCTTAACCTCCAACTCCTTTAGCAGCTCCTTTCGCCTCTTGGGGCTCCTCAAATCATCGCCAAACTCCAACGAGGTGCTCTGCAGAAGGGTCAAGCCCTGCTCTGTCGCCTCTTTTCTGATCGCCTCCTTCGCTGCGATCTCCATGGCCCGCGGTCTCGCATTCCGGGCCACGCTGACTTCGACCTCGCACTCCGATTCCCAAGATCCGAACTTCGTGCCGGACTCCTCCAAGTACTTCTCGGGTTTCCCTTTCATGATGTCGAGATCGCGCTTCAACGACTCCAACTGATCCTTCACCAGCGTCCGGGTGCCCTTCTTCGTGCTGTTGACATGCTGCGCCAGGCCCATCTCCGAAACCAAGTTCACCTCCGCTTGGATCTTCATCGGCATCGCCATGCCCACCATCGCCGCACCGAACAGCCACCTCGACAGCGCCGATGGTCCTCGCGCCGCCGGTCGAGCCCGAGGGACGAAAGGTGGCGGTCGCGGTCCAGCTCCACCAGGTCCAACGGCACGTCCAGGTCTAACCAGACCACCACGTGCGGAGAGGACCTCGTCAGAGGCGTAGGCGCTGGCATGGTCATCGGCTCGGGGTTGCCGTCCGTCGGGATGTTGTGCTCACTGACGTAGTCCACCAGCTCCCCCTTCTTGCGAACTCCTAGTCCAGGATGCACCCGCATGCGCCTCCTCGAAGCTCTTACCACTGCTATCGACGATCCGGGAGTCCCTGGTGCAGCACTGCTCGAAGCTCCCGATGATGATGGCCCTGGCCTGACTCCAACACTGACTAGTGCTTCGCCTTCTGCCTGAACGGTTCGCCCCCTCTGTCGGCTTCCTGCCTCCATCGGCCCCTCCACCCAGGCCTCCGTCTCCAAGCGCCTCGCCCTTGTGACCTCCAGGACCTCGGCCATATCCTCCAGAACTTCTCGCGGCACGCGAAGTAGCTGTTCGCGATCTCGATGTAGAGGGCGGTCGTCCGAAGCGCTCGACGGCCGCGGGCGCTCCTCCTCTGACTCCCAGTAGAGCCTCGCCACGAAGTTCCTTGGCGGGTCGATCTGCTTGAACAAGTCCTCGACGACGTCGCCCGCGTCCGTGCAGGGCGCCCCCTGAGCTCGGACTTGGCGCCAGCTTGGACCTCCAGCTTTCGAAGCCTTGAACGCCTTCGTGTCGTCGTCCTGGCGCCCCCGCATCTCCAGACCGGAGACGCCCACCTCGCCATTCGGCATGTCCCAGTCCTCGTCGTCCTCGGGGGCCCAGGCCGCGCCCGCTTCGACTACCTGTCGATCGAGACAAGCAGCTCGGTAAGCCTCTCGCGCAGCCAACTCCGACTTCAGCGTCATCGACGCGTCCTGGACCTTCGACCGCGCCCTGAATACCGCCTCGCCAACAGAGCCCTTCACCGGCGCGGGCCGCTGCCAACCTTCTCGAAGAAAGACCTGCATGGGGCATTGGCCACCGTCCGTCTCGTTGAGCTTCATCGGCTTCGCCCCGAACTTCTTGGATGCGAGCGAGTTTTCCTCGAAGTCGACGTCGGCCCCCATGGCCCTCAGCGCGCCCTTGCCGATCAGCAGCTGCTGCGGCGAGCCCGTGATCGCAGAGAAAGCGAGGCGCGCGTCGACGCCAAACGCTGACGCGGGCACCGTGCACTTCTCCCGGGAGACCTGCTTCTCGTCGCTCCCGAACCTGAAGATCGCGATCTGCGGCCCCTTCTGGATGTACTCGGCGATCCCGAGATCCTGTCAACGGTCCTCGATGCGCTTCGCGTAGACATCGCCCGACACCGAGCTGTTGCAGGCTGAATCCAGCGCGCCATCATTTCCTTGACCGCCGGTCGACGCTGACGATATGAGAACCTCCTTATGCGGATCGGAGACCCCGATTCGCGAGGGAGATTCGTCGGTCTCGGCCTCCGCCGCCAGCACCTCGAAGGTGTCCACCTTGAGCTCCGCCGCCGTCTCCAGGCCGCCAAGCAGCCTTTTCTTGGCCTGCTCGAGCTTCCACCCCTTCAGCTTGGAACAGCAATCATCGCCGGCCCCGTGGCCCTCCTCGCCGCGCGTGCGGCACTCCACGTTTTTCTTGTCGTTGCCGCCCTTGGCTGCGAAGCGCTTGCCGCTGCTCGAGCTTTCCGCCCATAGAGCCGCCTTTGCCGAACTTCCGGTCCTTCCGCAGCTCCTTCGCGCGCTTCTTGCTCTCCCTGACCGTGATGGGCCCCTCTATCAGCGCCTCGACGCCGCTCTCTAGGTTCTCGAGCTCCTGCGTCAGCTCCGGGTTGTTCTCCGCATCCTTTAGCGCCGTCGAGAATGCCTCAAACTCTGCACTCAGCGCACCTTCGATGTCCAAGGTCTGCTCTGTCGTCAGCACTTCATCGCCACCCTCGGTCTCGTCGTCGCCGTCGTAGGTGTCGACCTCAGCCGAACGCCTTCATCCAGCTGGCTCAGACCGCCCAGATCCTCAGTGGTGTTCGCCTCCTTGAACTTCCGAACGATCTTCGTCTTGAGCAGCGCCAGGCCCGGACTTCGACTGAAACGTCCTCGATCCAATCATGACGATCTTCTCTCCAACATGCGCAGGTTGGGAAATTCCCTCATCATCGCGGCACCACCTCTCGAAACTCCATGCTTCCGGCGGAAGCATGGAGCTTCAACTGGCGGAAGCCTTCCGCCAGTTAAAGTCATCAACATGCTCTTTTGCGCGTCGCTCAGCCCGGTCTTCTCGATGAGCCACCAGCCCGCCGTCCTCGGCGGCAAAACGACCTCCTCCTCGTCAAGTTGGCTCCGGGCCTCGCCGAACCTGATCATCCACGAGTTCAGGTCCTCGCCGGCCCTCCTATGCAGATGCGTACGTCATCACCTGGCCCCTGCGCGTCGGTTCGTCCACGCCCATGGTCGCAAGCACCTCCATCAGCTTGTTGATGCCCGCCATCAGATCAGCATCCTCCCAGTGGCCTCGCTCGTCGTCGTCCTCGAAGGCCTCCTGGTCCACGATCCACCGCCACTGCTTTGAGCGCAGCTCTTCCATCGGGATGGACTCACCGAGCGTCTTCGCGGGCCCTGTCAGACACCTGACCACGCGAGCGGCCCAACTGCAGCTCACGTCCAGGTTGATGTTTTCTATCCACAGCGCGACGTCCTTCTTGTACCGCCTCCAGCGAACCGCTGAACCGTCCCACATTGGAACCCCTTCCAAGTCGCGATTCGCCGGCAGCGGCCCCGTCATATAAGTGGTCGATATCCTGGTCCACCACTCTCGCGACCCTGGGGATCGCGGCGGCAGCGCGTCCGGGCTCAGGATGCCGCTTCCCGTCGCCGGCCTGCGCTGCCCAGGAGACGAAGCGCTGCCGCGCTCCATCCCAGCTCCTCGTAGTACTCGTCCTGCTCGTAGAACCAATCGTCCACGAAACCTTCTCTGCACGTAGATCTCTGCCGCTGTTGCCCAGCAGCCAGCGCGCGCTCCAGCAGCGCTCCGCTACCACTGCGGAGCCGAGGGATTGAGAGCACCGCTTCCCTCTGGCTCCGCAGCGGGATATAGCGGCGAGGGCGTCAGCCTTAGGGATGCAGCACTCGTCTTTCCTGGGTTTCCGCGCCCGAGCCTCAAATCTCTCAAATCGACTCGAACCAAAGCGTGCGGCAAGCGAGCGAAGGTAACGAGACGAGCGATACAACATAGCAAACACATAGCACAGTTAAATATAAAACTCAGTACAACACGAATATCATGAAACGAGAGAGGGGAGAATCTGAAAGGGGAGAGGCATCATAAGAGAGCGGGGCTTCGGGGCTGACAGGATAGCGCGTTCTTTCAACACTATCCTGCTAGCCTGAACCAATGCTGGGCCACCTCAGACCCCCAGCCGGCCCTAAATCAGCGGCAATCAAAAGGCAGTCTCACGCGAGATGATATAACGACCTTGCGCCGCGGCTTACGCGGGCCGCCAACGCGGCACGCTGCATTGGAGACGAGGGCGCTCACGCGCGAGCTCACGCGGGGAGCTCACGCGGGAATGTCGGTGAAGACGACCCCGTTCTTCTGGCGTCGCTCGAATCGAACCCCCCCGAGCCAGGAACCCCGCCCGGGCCTCACGTGCAGCAGCTCGTCCGTCCTGTTCCGGATCACCAGGCTGGGCAAGACCTGGAAGCAGGTCACGCGGGCCGGGCTCCCGTGGAGGGGCGGCAGCAGCACCTCGTGCCGGCGGCGGCGGCCCCGGGAGGGGTGGGCGGACACCAAGGAGAGGGTGTGCTCTGCATTTTGGGAGGCAGCTACTGGGAGGTCTTCGTCGGGAGGATGGGGGAGAATTAAGCCCGATACGCAGGAATTGCGCCGCGGATTGGGCCGCGGAGTAAGCGGGAGCAAGCGGGACTCACCAGGGTTAGGCCGATTCCAACCGGATCTCGGGCCAGGGCAGAGTCAGAACTTGACCTCCCAGGAACTGCATTCGAATTGCTTGTTCGGCGATGACCTCGGTTATCCGGTGGGGGGAATAAGGTAATGAAGAATGACATAAACAAAAAAAACTCGGAGGTCCGCGCGGATTTCTCGGATCGGCGCTGGACCCCCCTCCCTGGAGCGCGGAGCGCGCCAGTGGCGGCGCCGGAAGCGTCGCCAGGGGGCCCCAGCGCCGATCCGAGAAATCCGCGCGGACCTCCGAGTATTTATGTTTATGTCATTATTCGTTTCCCTATGTTGGCAAGGCGGTGCCAGCCGACAATGCTGTGGGCAGTCCCGCGCATGCCCGCGCGCATTAGCCAGTGCTGCGTACCGCCCTGTGGACCTGCGCAACCGACAAGAGTAGAGGGCGGAAAATCCATCCCGATAATAACCACCCCGACACGCGAAGCTGTTTAGTAAACGCACGCAAAGAAGGAATCTAACAGGGCAGGGTTGTTTAGTAATCGCTCAGGACCGTTCAGTAAACGCCAATTGTCGGGCCCAGGTGGTTTTTCCTCCCTTGAAAGAGGGCAGGCTATCTGGTGGGAGGGAGGGGGGTCAGGCGGGCCCCATACCATCAAGGCCCGTCCACAAGAGACCCTCCACAAGAAACCCAACCCTGAGACCCCAGGACGTCCATTGATTTTTTGGTGTGGGAACGTCGCGCCTTCCACAGCCCATCGAAACCCAAGAAGCCCAGGGCACCCTGGAGGCAAGCAGGGTGATTCTTGGCATGGGTCTCCACTGTAACCCAGGTTCAAAATCAAAAATCCTTCTCGAAACAATGCAGCACAGAAAATGTTTGGTGATTTGCAGCCTCCAAAAGCGTTCAACGGGCGCCGCGACCGTCAACAAAACTACTCGGGATGAGAAGCTGGGGCCAGAAAAAGGGGGACACGCTGTGAAAATACACGGCGTCGGAGTTCTGGGGAGGAACCCATTTTTTAGACTTCGCGACTTTGACTGCGACGTCGTCTCGCAAAGATCTAGACCCCTTTCCCCAGGACCCGCTTTCTCATCCCAAGCCGTTGTTTGTCGACGGTGCTGGGGCCCGGGGAAGACCGGCAACGGTCCAAAAACGTCTGTCCATGGTTTCGGCTGCACGTGACCCTAGGCAAAATTGGCAAATGGCGCGCGGCTTTAAGGGGCCGCCTGGGGAGACCAAGTCAACGCAGTCCAAGCGCGCCAACCAGTGCTGCCGGGAACCCACGTGGGCGCGCAAAAATCACTCCTGCGCGTAGCCGATGTCTCGCAACGAGAAGGGGAGGCCGGACAGTTTACAGGAAGGGCGAAGCGGGGCGAGGCGCTGGCCAATCGCCCTGGATAGGAAAAACGCAACTATCGACGTATAGTGGAATCGGATTCCCAAGTGTCTGCGATATGAGCTTGGCTGCCTGGTCCGTTGAGGCGAGATTCAGGCTCGCTCCGATGACTCTCGATGGGTTCGGCGCGTGTTTCGATCGGGTCTTCGCAAGCACCTCTACGCGAAGGAGGTCCGCGCGCCCGTTGCAGCGAATTCGAGGACACTCTCTCGAACACTTTCATGTGTTCATGCTCAGCAGATTCGTTCCTCGTTCCTTTTCCTTTTGGATTCCGCCCCCTTCCCCTGCGCCTATTCACGCCGCTACTCCCCCTCCATCTCTCGCGGTCACCCCGCCCATCCCTCTCCCCATCACCGCCGCCATGTTGTCTCCCGCTTTGCTGCTTCTCTGGGGGCTCCTGGGGGTCTCCAGAGGCATATCTGCAGAACTCCCAGGGCCCAAGGGTCGCATACAGGAGGAGCCCGACCACAAGAACCCTTCCACAAGAAACCCAACTCTGAGACCCCAGGATGTCCATTGATTCCTGGCGTGGGAAAGTCTAGCCTTCCACTGCAAAACCATCGAAACCAAAGAAACCCAGGGCACCCTGGAGGTAAGCAGGGTGCCTATTGGCATGTGCCCCCGCTGTAGCGTTGTACGTGGTCCTCAGCCCTGCCGGGCGACTGCCTGCCTGGCAGACGGCTTGGCCGCCAGCGCGGCGACCAAAGTGGAGATCGGGGGCGTCCGAGAGGGGGGCGCAAATCATGACCGGCGGCATGTGCGCGGCCCGGGGGGGGGGGCGCCAGGGACGTAATGAGATACGGAGAGCCGCCATGAGATCGGAGGAGACATCATGGCCCCCGCCATGATATCCAAAGCCCCTTGGTCCCTAGTCATCACCACCCTCTTGGCCGCCTCCGAGGAGGGGTAGCCTTCCTGCTCGTCCGCGGGAGTGCCTTGTTCCACCTGGTCTTGCGGCCGCTGCGCGGCCGCGCGGCGGCGGCCCTGCAAACAGAAAAAAGCGTTCGGGACGGCTCCTCCGGACAGACAGGACCACCACGACCACCAGCTTGGGCACCTCCCTCGGGGAACTCTCTGGAGGCATGCCTGGGGCAAGGTGCCACCAGCCCGAGAGGGTGGGGACAGCCACCCCCCTCGCTGGTGGTAGTGGAGGGAGGGAGGGCGCGAGGGACCACTGGTGAGTTCCCAGAAAGAGCGCTGCGCTGCAGGCTCGAGCGGTCGCCTTGGAGCCCCGTGCTGGAAGGCCGCCCAGACTGCCCAGGGAGCCGCGCAGGCACAGGGCCGCACGGAGGGGCGCGCTTCGCAGCGCAGGCAGCTCGGAGGTGGCCATGGACCACGGCCCCTTCGGCACTCTGGATGGTGGCCCCCGCCATCTACTCTCAGGTCGGTCATGTCCCCGCCCCACAGGCGGACTTGGGCGAAGCATATGACATGCTCTTGAAATGCTCAAACAGATCAAAAACATCGAAACATCATCCCCCGACCATTCTCTGACTATGTTTGAATATTCCTCCTGTAGAGGGACATGCCCGACTTGGGCGCGAAGAAGCTCGCATTCGTAGGAGCCACGAGTGCCAAGGAGTGAAGAGCCCCCGCCCAAATCCCACCCAAGGGCCACGCAGGAACGATGCGCGAGAGCTTGGGTACATAGGTTACGTTGGGGGTTCTGTCACTGGCTGAAGACGACCTTTTGTGGGCTTTGTCGCTGACTGACGGCCTCCTGGTGCTGCTCCTACCACTCTCGTTCCTGCTCTTGCCAATGCCGGTCACAGTCCTCCTGCTCCTGTTCCTCCTGGTCATCCTCCTGGTGCTCCTCCCCCTCCTCCTGCTCCTCCTGCTCCTCCTCGTCCTCCTCGTCCTCCTCGTCCTTCTTCTTCCCGACGGCACCGAAGCACGAAGGCAGCAGCGAGGCACTGAATTAAAAAGAGGAGGAGGAGGAGGAGGAGGAGGAGGAGGAGGAGGAGGAGGAGGAGGAGGAGGAAGAGGAGGAGGAGGAGGATGGGTACTGCGAGAGTTGGTTAGGTGCCGCGCCCACCCGGCGCCCTTCCCATTACTGCGAGAGTTGATTAGGTGCCGCGCACACCCGGGTGATAGATACCGCCCTCCTGCTCTTCCTGCCCCCCTTCACCAAACTCCCTCTTCACCCGCCTTCATGGTACTGCAAGAGTTGATTAGGTGCTGCGACACCGCGCCGCCTTCCCCATTAAACAAGGAAGCAGTGAAGTGAAACATGTGTTGGCGCCGCATTAAAAAGCAGCGCGCCCGCGGCACTCCAAACGCTGGCCGCGGGTCGTGTCTCGTCCCCGTGCTCGTGCCCACCCCTCTTGCTCTGCTATCCCATATCCCTCCAGCCCCCCGTGGACAAACGGAACGATGTCTACGAACGCGCACGTTGCCAGGAAGGGAGGAGAGGAGAAGGGGGATTGAGGCTAAGAGTAGAGAGGGGAGTAGAAGGGGGCGAGGTCCTCCCTGAGAGCAGCGCTGTCGCCTGAAGAAGGCGGCCCGGCCGCCTCCGGCAGCCGAGTGGTGACAGCTTGGAACAAATGTGCCGCTATGAAAGCGCACATCTCCGAACTGTATTGCTCGGATTGCGCTGCTTGGAGGTCGTCGGGCTCGCCGCCGCTGGCAGCCTCGCGCAGGTGTCTGCCTGAGCTGCTCCTCGTCCTCCTCCTCCTCCTCCTGCTCCTCCTTCTCCTCCTCCTCCTCATTGGGGGCTTTTGTCGCTGACTGACCCCCCTGGCGGGCAATCACGGGTTCGCAAAAATTTGGCTTGCAACTTGCCCTCCTGGCGGGGACTTTCGGGAGCCGTGCCGCACCGTACGTCCCGCGATAGGCGGCGCCGGAGCTGCACTTTTCTCGAGCACGAAGATGGCAGCAACGCTGAAGCCTCAGACCTGCGACGTCCTGAATGTTTCTCAATACGGGGCCCTTGAAGTCACGACCCCTTCCCCGCGACCAGCTGGACATCCTGAGTCGCTTGTGGACGGTCCGGAGGCCCGATCAGGGACCCTTCTGGGAGGGGCGCGGGGGCTGCTAAGGGGATAGGGGGATGATCAGTGGATGCTAAGGTGGGTTTCGCCTGGCCTAACCTAGCTTATCGTAGGGTTACACATGCCCCAAGTGGCGCAGGAGGATTAGACAACTCCGCTAAATGGGCGGAGCCCACTTCGCCTGTGTCGCTATCCCCCCCCCCAGCCACCTGGGTCATTAGCAGCCCATTAAACTATTGAGCCAGGTGAAGCCAGGTACAACCCACCTTGGCATCTACTGAAAACCCTATATCCCCTTGGCAACCCCCGCGCCCATCCCAGCAGGGGCCCCCAAATAGCCCAACAAACCTCGCGTCCAAGGATCTGTTTTGCAGGGCGCGAGCAGGTCTTCGGGACCGTGGCTTGCGAGCGGAGACCCCCTGCCACGAAACGCGTGGCGCTGGGAAGGAAACGCGGCGTGGCGGAAGACGGGCGCCCGGGTTCTGTTGCTCCCATCGTACTTAAGGACCACATCCAAAAAAAAAACTCAAGCACTTAGGACAGTATCGAAGCTGTGTCGAACGAGTATCGCCTCCCAGGGCCAGACGCGTGAAAACTCTTCAGTTTCGGTACCTGGTTTGTGTTCGAAATTCGTTCTTGTGGTCGAGGCCAAAGTAGGTTGGAGCATCATAAACCCAGGGCGCTCCCCCGAGGCTCGTTGCCGGAAGGCCGCCAAGAGATGCCGGTGGGGGAGGGGGGGAGGGCCCACGGCCAGAGGCGGGAGATAGCGCCGAAGTCGCCCCTGCCGGGGTGGGCGCGGGGGTTGCCAAGGGGACAGCGGGGTCGATCAGTGCATGCCACGGTGGGTTGTATCTGGCCTAAGCTAGCTCGTTGGTGGGCGGCTAATGCCCCGAGTGGCTTGGGGGGCATAGCGATCCAGGCGGCAAAGCAGGCTCCGCCCGCTTTTCGGAGTTGTATGATCCCCCTAAGGCACTTGGGGCATGCGTAACCTACTCATAAGCTAGGTTAGGCCAGGTATAACCTCTTTGGCATCCACTGAAACTTCCCCTTATCCCCGTAGCAACCCCCGCGACCATCCCAGTAGTCCGCGGCCGCCCCAACAGAAACTCATCACGCCGCGACACGCACCCAACTGTGCGGCGGTGTGTTTTTCCAGCAAGTACAAAGTGGCCAGACAGTCCTCAATCGTTGGGGCGTCTTAATGTGTGGGCTGATGCCGTCAGCTACGAAATATGAAACTGCTGGTCTTCGCACGCATCCCTGGCAAAAGGATGGGGCCGGACAGAGACCGGAACGGCGTTTGAACGGTGTGCTTGCGCAGCTCCCTTTAGGATGCAACAGCTGGAAGGTCTTCGTCGGAAGGACTAAGGAGGATTCAACCATTGGGGGACTGTTCACCGCATTAGGCCGCAGATGAAATGGGATGAAGACGGATGAGGCGGGATGAAGCTAGATTGAACGGGATTTAGCCCGATTTCGGACCAGGGCAAAGTCAGAAATTGGCCTCCCAGGAGTTGCATCCGAATCTGTAAGACGGTGTGCTTGCACAGCTCCCTGCTCCAGTAGGGACTGCAAGCCCACCACGCGAGCCTGCAGCGGTGCGCTTCTCAGGAGGCCGCCTCGGAGGCGGTTCTGCCAAACCGTCTCCGTGCGGCCGCGCAACTGTCACGGGACCTGTTGGGCCAAAGGATTCCCGTGGCCGAGCCTAAAGGCCACCTCCGCTCTGCTCGCCGCGCTGGCGGCCAAGCCGCCTGCCGGGGCCGCGCCCGAGAGGGCTGACAAGCACTCCTGTGCTATGCGGCCATTGGGCCTTGGGACTTCTGTCAGGTCGGGCATGTCCCGCTACAGGACGTTGTTGGACGAAAACTTCTATTAAAGATACACAGAGGCAATCAAATATTCAAAACATCGTCCCAAGACGATCCTTTCGCTATTTCTGAATACTCCTCCTGTAGAGGGACACGCCCGACTTCAGACTTCTGCGGGCAGGACGCCTCGAGAAGCGAGGCTCCCCTGCGGCCTCCAGGGGAGAAAAGCGGGAGGAGGCCAAGGAGAGCGGGGCCGAGGGGGGGGCGGAGCGGTGCAGGGGGAGGGAGGCTGGCAGTCACCCTTATTATGATCAGGAGGAGCGGGGTAACCTTAGGTCGGGCATGTTCCCCACACAGGCGAATTCTGGACGAACGCAATAACCAGAAAATATTCAACTAGATTCAAGCATACCACAGAAATCGTCCCCATACTATACGTTGACTATGTTTGAATCTTCCTCCTGTAGAGGGACACGCCCGACTTAAGGGTAACCGCTAGGGGGTGGAATGACGGCGCCAGCAAGAGCAAGGAAAGGAAGGGCAGGACTGGCGGAGGAGGAAGTGCCGTTAAGAAGGGCATCCCCATGATCCTGCGGCCCCGCTGCGTCCACGGTGCTCCCGGCCATGGAAATATTTGGCCGCTTCCAGAAACCCTGAACCCTAAGAGGTTGTCGTCTCTTGGGAAGTCGATTTTACCTTTCGCCGGCTTCTGCCGAGCTTCTGCCGGATTCCGTCGGCGGAGCCGCTGACGTTTGACTTCCGCCGCCTTCCGCCGACCTTCCGCCGCACTCCGCCTGTCGGGAGAGATGGCAACTCCTCCTGTCCTCGAAGGCGAGGCTCTTTTTAGAATGCCAATTATTTGAAAGGCAACGATCGGGGGGGACTGGCATAGGGGGGATGCATCGACCTGGAATCGACGATACATCGTCGATAGATCACCGATAGGCCCCCGATAGTGAACCCGCACCTTCCTGGGCGGGTTGCGGCCATCGCGCTCCTATTGGCGATCCATGGGAGATCGGATGTCGGTCGATGCATCCCCCCCTAGGTATACCCCCCCCCTTATCGTCGCCCCTGAGCTCCATGACCCCCAGAGCAGCACACGCATCTGGCGACCTTCGGCTCACTGGAGGACGGCCGCGTGCGAGAGATCGGCCGGAGCGGCGGAGCGCGCCAGGGGCGACAGTGCGGCGCCATGTTCAAGAGGACTCCTTGAAGTGCTGCAAACATGTCCATCGCCTGCTCGTACGATTCATAACAGGACCCCTAACCCTTGGGTGGGCACCGAAGTTAGGAGGGCCAACAACATCATGGACATTCTGCAGAATTGTAACCCCGAGTGCAGAGACGGGGACCTAAGTGAGGCCACGTCGTCACTGTGCTGTTAGGGTTAGGGGGTCTTTGACCCTCGATGTTCGAAGGAGCACCGGGAGCTGAGGACTCCAAGCATCTCCAAGCACCTTGCACCCGCCGTGCAGCAAGCAGCGAATCTGCGCGGAGCGAGCCGGCCGAGGCGCTAACAAAAACTCGGGCGCATGCAGCAGACCCTCGAGTAGCCCACGGTACTCGGAGCGGCTCCTTCTCCTCCTCCTCCTCCTCCTCCTCCTCCTCCTCCTCCTCCTCCTCCTCCTCCTCCTCCTCCTCCTCGTCCGCCTCCTCCTCGTCGTCCTCCTCCTCCTCCTCTTCCTCCTCCTCCTCTTCCTCCTCCTCCTCCTCCTCCTCCTCCTCCTCCTACGCCTCCTACTCCATCTCCTCCTCCCCCTCCCCCCTCCTCCTCCTCCTCCTCCTCCTCCTCGTCCTCGTCCTCCTCCTCCTCCTCCTCCTCCTCCCCCTCCTCCTCCTCCTCTTCCTGCTCTTCCTCGGGTCGCCTACGGCCCCAGGGGAACCCGTGCAGGGAGAGGAGGAGAGGAAGAGGAAGAGTGGGAGGTGCCAGGAGACCAGGAAAACAGGAGACCCGTATCATAAGGACCCGCGGTATGGGTGCAAGGGCCTTGGAGGCCCATGTGAACGTTTTTGTTGTCGAACGAGGTTGGCCAGCGAAAGTCGCTGAGGATGGGCCGAAGGGGCAAGGATGCCCATCCTTACTATGCGGTTTGACTCGATATAGTATGCGCGACGGAAAAGGGCGGACGGGGAGGACGGGCAAGGGCGAAGGCGTGCAGGCCTGCTGGCATAATCTCCCACGCCATTGCCAAAACGAAGGTTCGTCCAAGAACAAAGGTGCAAGATCGCTGTCTCTCCTTGATGTCCGCGCACGCGCGGGTCTTCGCAAGCGGCGCGCGCAAGTAGACACCCCGCACTCGTGCAAGCACGCCTGGGAACACGAATATATGCGCGCGATTGTTTGTGATCCGTTTCCACGTCCTCGCGGGCCAGGCCCCTGGGCCGCGACCCCGCGGACACGGTGCGTTGTTTCGCGGATGCCCCGCGCGGAACGTATCCTTACGACCACGTATCCGCGGCGGTGCGTTGTTTCGCGACTGCCCCGCGCGGAACGTATCCGTACGATCGCGTATCCGCGGGATCGCGCCCGACGTCGGCGACACTTGCGGGGGCGAATGCGGCGAGCAAGCAGGAGGATGTGGGGCCCTCCCCAGCCCCAGATCTGGCCGAAATTGGAGTAAGCACAACATCCCCAACACGATGAAGGTCGGCTGAACTTTCCACCATCGCCAATGTATACGCACACACAAGCACGAAGACACACACGTGGACAGAAACGAAGCGCGCAACTTCAATATCACATCCGCTCATTCAAGCGAGGTGCGCACAAGATGTCGCGAACGTCCGCACTGCCAGGCTTACTCGCACACGACAGCATACACTAGAAACAGGAACTCGACTCTTGGCGGCGCGCATAGCGGGGTGGAAGGAGAGGGAAAGCCTTCTTTTTGGACGCCCGAAAGATGTACGGAACAAACGGGTACAATGCCCAACACCAAATGTTGTCCCAAACCAACAGCGACCGATGTTGGGCGGGCGGCCTTCTGTCTCAAATGGACACAAGCCGCGGCGGCGCGGACAGCGAGTCCTGTTCAAAACGAACAGGAACTGCTGTTGGGCATTGTACCCATTGTTTCCGTACCCATTTCGTTCGTGCCGATTCTTAGAAGGAGGCTGCTTCTCAGCAGGCGCCGGCCTTACATCTATAGATAAGGACCGCGCCTTCTAAGAAGCAGAGGTGCTTCTAAGAAGCCCCCCCTCCCCCCACCCCCTTCTGCGCGTTGCTGGGAGGGGGGAATGCCAGGGGGCCAGGAATACAATCATGTATTAGAAGGATCCGCGGTAGGGGCGCAAGGGCCTTGGAGGTCCATGTGAACGTTTTTGTTCGAACAAGGTCGGCCAGCGAAATCGCTAAGGATGGCTGAGACTCGGCTGAAAAAGGCCGTACAAGAATCCGCATCCCGGCCATCTTGGCTTGGCTTGCGAAGCGCCTGGGAGACCGTGAACTCGTAGCTCTGCTCCTCCCCTCCGCGTGCGCATTGTTTTGTTTTTGTTGATCCCGGTCCCGCTGCCCCACCTCGGACATAGCATGAGGTCGGACATTTCCTCCTGCAGGCGGATGTTGAAGAAAAACTAAAACGCAGTCAACAAGTGTTTCAACATGATCAGAAATACTAGAAAAATCGTCCCCAGGCTATTAATTGACTATTCTTGAATACTCCTCCTGTAGAGGGACGTGCCCGACTTAAACATAGCACGAACCTGCATCGTAATTCTTACCATCCTCATTCTGCACCCCCTTGCCCCTTGCGCTGAGATTCCCTGGACTGCTCCACGGGCTACCGAGGGCATTATCAGTATCGTGGCCACAGCCTCCTACCGCAATTATCATGTTTCTTCCCGTCGCCATCCGCATCATCGCATTCGCCGTCCCTGCCGCTGTCACCACCTCCATCGCCCGCTTCAATGTCTCTCTCTCTCTCTCTCTCGTCGTCGTCAATACCCTGCTCTTTGTCCTTCACCGCAGCTTGGAGACAACAATCGATACCACACATCTCCAGTACCCGCGCAACGATCCACAGATGGAGGAGTCACAATAGGTTGTCATAGATTGAGCACTCGCAAACGACACCAGCCCAAAATACAAAAGCGCTGACATAACGACTAGCGTTTTTATAAGAAGCACCGTGGTAGCACCCTTACCCACAAACGCGTACCACCCTGCCCCTACTCTCTCTTTCTGTCTCCCTCACCCTCCTACTCCTTCTCATCCTCACCACCGCTCGCATCCGCGCGCCGATCATCGTTTCCACCTTCTGCCTTCTGCCCTCGTCAGTGGCATCCGAGGTCACCGCCGCGGCCGTCGCCGCCGCCGTCGTACGGCGGGTTCTTGTCGTGACGACCTCGCGTGGATCGTTCAACTTTCAACGATCGGCGGCATTTTGATCGCCAGATCCTTCCATAAAGGCCGATTCAGGGCCTCTGGCGCGTTCAACCTTGAATAAAGGAGCGACACAAACTGCACAAATATAACCGTTCGGCGCTCCGTGCGGATCTTGGATCGGCGCCGGGCCCCCCTGGCGGCGCCTCTGACGCTGCTCATGTCGCACTCCGCGCGCCAGGGAGGCGATTTCCAGCGCCGATCCGTGAAATCAGCGCGGACGCGCGGACATCTGAAGCCACCACTGGTTCCCCAAACGCTGGCCGGGTAAGGGCGGCCACCGGCCGCGCTCCACCTGGAATGCTCACGCTGGGGCCACTGCCCTTCGAAGACGACAGCGCAACGCAGCGAGGTCGGAAAAAGGAGGAGGGGGTAGGGGAAGGCGAGGAGGGAGAGGCTAAGACAACACTCGAATAGGAGATCGGCTGCACAATTGCTATATCACCAAATTCAACTTCCTCGCCGAACGTACGAAACAAAATAATTACAATGCTCCGCGGAGAGCTGCGATAATTCCACGCCTTCGTCGCAGATCCGAGGAGGAAACTCAGCTCTGGAGCAAATCAATGCTGCAGTCCATTCCCTAAGGCAGGTTCGTGTCGTGCCGACCCGGGCGCTGGTTCCCGACACCGCGGGGGCCGTTCAACCTTGAACGATCGGCCGTTTCCGAGTCGTCAGAGCGTTCAACATCGATCGACTCTGGGTAGCCAGCGGCGTTCAAAGTTGAACGCCCGCGGCTGGCCGCCGCCAGCCGACATGACACGAACCGACCGAACGCGAACAACGCGGAGGAGACCGCAGCCCCTGGCCACCTGCCGCCCCGACGCGGCACGAGCCTGCGGCGGGCGGCCGCCCCCTTGCCCCGCGAGCCGCCCGCAAGCCCAGGGGGTTGCCGCGGGGCGGCGCGGGGCGGGGCGAGAGAAGATGGAGGAGGATGGGGGGGGGAGGAGAAGGAGGGAGGAGGAGCAGGAGGAGAGAGAGAGAGAGAGAGAGAGACACGCCCGCGGACGCGGGTCGCCGCCTCGGCGGCCGCCGCGCCGAGCGCCCGCGGGTCGCAGGCACTCAGCACCATCTCGTCGCCCAGCGCCATGCGGAGGACGAACGCGTGAGGCAATCTGAGGGTGCCCCCAACTCCTGAGATGCCGACGTCGAGCGCGACGCCGAAGAGGAAGACGTTGAGGGGGAGGACGGCCCCTCCACGGGACATTATCGCCCTCCCCCCGCCGCTCGGGAACCGGCCCCGCGCGCAGCTCCCCGAACGACTCCACGTCCTCCACCGGGGCCCGGTGGCCACGGCGTGATGGCCGCGCCAGGCGCGAGCTCCAGGCCGTCGAGGTCGACGAGGATGTGCGTCGCGCGGCGGCCCTCGCCGAAGAGGACGAGCAGCTGGCCGTCCTCGGGCTCGATGCTGGCGATCGTGGCCACCCGCCCATCGGGAAGGCGGACGCGGTCGCCCTCGGCCGCTGCCAGGACCGCCGCCGCCGCGGCTCCGCCAGGCACCGCCGCCACCGCGGCCGCTGCGCCAGGCTCCGCCGCCGCCGCAGGGCGCGCCACTTCCTTAGCCCCCTTCATGGGGCCGTCTGCCCATTCGTCGTCGAAATCGTCATCGTCCACGAGCATCTCGACGGGCGCGGCCGAGACGGCCACCGCGGCCTCGGCGGCCGGAGCGGGCCCAGGGCCCGCGCCAGCAGCAGCGGCAGCAGCAGCAGGGGGAAGGGCCACGAGCTCCGAGCCCGCGCCCGTCCCCGTCCCAGCAGCACCTGTGGGCGCACGCCGCCGCGCCGCCAGGCGCTGGCGGCGGCGTCGCCGCCTCTCCACGCGCGCCGCGGAGGCGGCGCGCGGGCCAGCAGCGTGTTCTCCAGGCGCACCAGCAGCAGGCACCTCGCCAGCCGTGGCCCCAGGCTCCTGCGTCTCCGCGCCCGCGAACAGGGCGGCGGAGATGGCGGAGCGGGCCACGGCGGCGACGGTGCGCCGTGGGGCGCGCGCGAGGACCGCGGCGCGTACGGCCGCCTCCACCAAGGAGGAGCCGAGGGCGGCCGCGGAAACCCCTCTAGGCCGAGCCATCGCGCGCGGGCGGGAGGCGGCGGCCATGCGATCGCTTGAGCCAAAATGGCTACGGAAGGAGGAGCAGGAGGAGGAGGAGGAGGAGGAGGAGGAGGAGGAGGAGGAGGAGGAGGAAAAGGATGGAGGAGGAGGAGGAACAACTCTCTCTCTCTCTCTCGCTCTCTCTCTCTCTCTCTGTCCCTCTCCCTTTTTGCATCCGCGGGTCGCACAGCAGGCGCAGACCGGCGTGCACCTCGGGGCCGCTCGCAAGCGGTCGAGAGATCCTCCGGTGGACTCGGAGGAGGAGGAGGAGGAGGAAAAGGATGAGTTTTTCAACACCCACTCGGCATAAAATGACTAAAGGGTTTGGGTGCAATCTGTGCATGCCTAGGCCACGCCTTGCTTGCGCGCATCACGATACGTCCTTCAGAATGCACTGGCCCCAGAGGAGACGTCAAGAAACAAACTCAGAACGAAGCTCCAAGCAACGGTGCCTCGAAAGATCTCGGAACTAAAAACCAAACAAATTCAGCTGCCTCCTGGTCGGCCTCAAATTCATCTGGAGGGCGACCGTCCTCCGCGGCAAACCCCGCGGGGGGACTCGCACGGGCAGCTATATATTGCCCATCTTGCGGACCAGCTTGCCCTTGGGGGCGCGCCCCTGCTTGCCCACTGCTCCCATGCCCCTGCAGATCACCGAGAATGCGCGATTCCTCTCCAGCAAGAGCCCATTCTCTGGGGGGGGACCGCGACCACGAGGGGCTGCGCATGTATTTCGTTGTGCTCTGAACCTTCCTTCGCCATTTTGCGCAAGGCCTCGGCTGTGCCCCTTCACATTGCGACCGCGACCAGTCCTCGAAGACCCATCGTGACTCTAGGCTTCTTGCCGTCGTAGGTCTCGACGAATCCACAGACCTTGCGCCACTCCACTATCATGCTCGGGCCTTTGCAAGCTTCCACGTACAGATTGAGTCCTCTCCTGGATATCTGCGGCCCCGGAGTTCGGGGGAGACGCCCTGCGCGGGAAAATTTTCGATATCGCTCGGAAGACTCCCAAATAGATGAAGATGCGGGCCCCCTAGGTTGCGCCCCCCCCCTTCTCCGCGACCTCTGCGTCGTGCTGCTGCTGGATGGCCGCCGTATTCTCGACGATCGGGGCGTCGTTGTTGAAGAACCTGCTGACCTGACTCTCGAATTCCAGCGCGCGAATTCGACGTTCTAGCTGCCTCGAGAGCTTCTGGTCTGGAGCCGCGTTCTCCGCGTTCGGCTTCTCGGCGGGGGGGCGCCCTCCTCGCCGCCCGTCGCCGCCCCCGACTTTTTTGTCTTGAAAGAGACCCCATCCGCTGCGTCTCTCTCGAATGGAAACTCTACTCCGAAGAAAGAAATCTGGTGTTCAGGTAGTCAGGAAGGGAGATGCTCGAGCTGCAAATGCCGCCGGAGTCGCTCGGTAGAGTCGGCCAGAGTGTTGCGCGTAGAGCGCCGCGTTTCACAAGTCTCTTGAATTTCAAGTCCTAGTTTGGCCTGGCACGCAGTGTCCTTTAAAACAATCTCGCGCGCAGTGCTGTTACTTGCTGCAGCCGCTCACGGAGCGCGGCGCGCTCCGTGAGCGGCTGTCTCGGCGCGCGCGAGGCGCTCGGTAAGAGCGCGTTGCGCGGCGAACGAAGGGCGCAAGGTGGCCCATCCGCCCCCGGAGCTGGACACCAGCACACTCCCCCCCCCCCCTCGCCCCCCCCCCCTCCCCTGTGCGCCTCGATGTTCGCGCGAAAGTGCGCGCGTAGGAAAATGGAGTCCAAGTCGGGGGGCTTCTCGCGCCTGAGGAGGGCTACGACACTGTCATCTACTCGTCGAGAAGGTCGGCCCAATCGTTGCCGATTCGGAGCGCCACAGGCCCCCCGCGGACTGCGACGCCCAGGGCTTCGCGCCGGGGCCGTCGAGGAGCCCGCTGGGGAGCAGAGCGGGGTCTTTCAAAGCCCGGCTTCCCGAGCATCGCTGCGACAGGCCGGGCGGACGCGCGCGGCGCCCGCGCCGTTCGCTGCATCCATTGGGCGCGGCGAATCCACAACTCCACGAAGAGTCGAGCCACCTACAGTCGATGTAGAAATTGCACATTGGAAAGCCGGCGAACGCGACCCCCATGATGCGACGCCGCGCCCAGCAACGATACCCCTCCTTGCCCGATAACTCGGGGCTCGATGCCGGCAAGGTCGCTCGTTTGAAGTGGCGTGTATTTTCCCGCCCAAATCTCAAGTCCACCGAGCGCACTGTCGATGGCCTGGCACTTGAATAAATTTAGCCACAGCCTCAAAGGTGCGCCCGATGTCCAAAATCTTCTTAACTGGGCCCAGCCTCTTTCAACTGCAGCAATCCGCTGCTCGATCTCGGCTGTCATAGTGAATGCGTTGGACAGACGTGGGCCCATAACGCCCTTCGCGATCTCAACCTTCACCTTCTCCACTGGCTTCAGCCGCAAAGGTACTTGTAACTAATCGTATACGGGGTCAACAATGACCTTATGCCGACCACTACATTGCCACCGTAGCTGTCCTGACCTGCGATATGCCACCGTTTTAGATGTGAATTGCGTCGCTGTAGCTATCTCTGCCCGCTCCATAGTATACGTTGACCTGCTTGCTGATGCTCTGGTGCGTTCCGATGCCATTTAGCCCCGCGTCGATCATCTGGTTCTGCATGCTGCCCGAGCCCCTCGCTGTAGCTGCGCCGGGCACCAGGAATTGGTCGCCCAACTCATCTACGAAGCCCGTCTTTCCTATATGACCTCTTGTTGATACTGCCTGGCCTCAACGCCATTTTGAAGCATTCAGCTGGCGCGCTGTGCGATGGCCATGCTCTCCACAATCGAATCGACCCAGTCGCGCGTTGTAGACCTCTTAGAATAGCCCTGCGTCCTCCATCTGGGCCTGGCTTCGCCATCCTGCCGATCCATGATGAATGTTTGCCGCGGGCGCGGCTGCTCTGCGCGCTTTTCCCCTAGGTCCTCCCCCGCCGCCAAATATGAGCCGAGCGATGCGACGCATGGAATGCCAATCCTTCGTTTGTGCTGTTTCCTCGAAAGTTTCGCATCGCTGTTCTAGTAGCTCGTCGAGGAACTTCTTCTCTATCACCCTTATGTATGGATGCGCGCGTGAGTTCAGTGGCGCCACTCGACATCTCATCCTCATCGTCGGGGCCCAGCTCGCCCATATAATTTGTTCTACGCACGTCGCCTTCGGAGTAGTTCGGCTTGCCGCTGGAGCTGTTCTCTGTGATCTCCGGTATAGGAAGGGCTGGCGCTGGACGTTTCGACTGCGCCGGTGTTCAAAACTTCAATCATCGCTTCAAATCTGCGCTCCAAATTCGTCTTCTCGTAGGCCGTGTCAATGTCATTCTCTGCTTGGCTCAGCTTGATTTCGACGTTATCGGTGGATTCTCGTCGTAGCCAGCCCATCTGCAGTGCTGCCGACATAGCTTCACCGAGTTGTGTAATTTTAATCGCCTCGCACCGTAATGTAGCATTGTGCCCGTCTGCTCACCAGGTAAATTCAAAGGGGTAGCTATATAATTTGCTTGACTCGACTCGCCTCGTGCTCCATACCATGCGTTGCCGATGTCCTAGTGTTTATTGACCGCCTGCATGTCCCATGCCTGCAGATAAGATGGTGAGTAGTTCGCCTGTAGTTGGAGCCGAACGAAAAACGGAACACGATGTCTTATGTGCGGGCGCTCGGACTTGAGCGCGTCACTCAGTTCTGCGAAGATAGATGGTAAAAATATGTGCCCCATCTGCGTAATCACGTTGCCGATTCAAAAAAGATCCTCTCAACAGTTGAAGTCTGGCATTCTTCTCTGGAGATGAGCTCGGCTTGGGCGAGAAATCTGTTGCGGGACATCCAAATCGTACAGTGCCTCTCTCTACACTGGTGGACCCGACCCTTCCCCACAGATGTTTGGGTACTTCAAATATGTGTCGAATATGTTTTCGCCGAAACCGCGACTCTCTGTAGCACAGTACTGGCTCCACAAGCGTTACTAATGCCCGAACCTTTTTCCTCCCCCAGTGTATGGCAAACTGGTTGGGGGGGGGGTCGGTTGTGAGCTCGTTCGGTGCCATGCGAGTAAATAGTTGTGTCCATGATGCCGACGATGTCCTGTGTTTCGAGCTCATAGCTGATGTTCACCCGTGTGTCACCGTGAAGGTGGAGTGTGTTCCAGTGCGCAACTCGCCATGTCCGTTCTTCCATTCAAGCGCTGGCCGTCCGTAGCTGTGCCTGGATGTCGCTGCCAGGTGCCATCAACGGGCATGTTCTGGGTGTGTGCAGGTGGAAGACACACGCGAAAAAGAAACGCTGAGTTTCACGTTTCGAACCCACCTGAGGAGGAGGAGGAGGAGGAGGAGGAGGAGGAGGAGGAGGAGGAGGAGGAAGAGGAAAGGACGCCTAGAGCATGGGGGGGGGTGCTAAGCTCTCCCTCTCTCTCTTTCTCTCCTTCTCCCTCTCCCCCTGGACCCCCTCGAAAAATGAAAAAAACATGACGGAAATGTTGTCCAAACTTTCGGCCTCCGGGGGGCCCTACCGGGCCTCGGGACCGTCAATAAACGACTCTGGATTAAAAACCAAGTCCCCGGGAAGGGGTCCAGGCTCCCGGGGGTCACGTCACGGCCCCAGGACCCAGACAGGGGCCCGGGAGGCCGAACAACGCCAAAAACCTCGCGCCACGCTTGAGCCCAGCATCGAATCGAGAAGTTGGACCTGCAATCGAGAGGAATCGGCTCGGCAAAAAACGGCAGTCGCGTCGGGAGAGATCGAACCGGCGGGGAGCGGCAGGCTAGTAGGGTCTCCATCGGACAAACCCCAACCTTGACCCCCAAACCCGACGTCGTGATTTTTGTCATGACGTGACCCCCAGGAGCCTGGACCCCTTCCAGGGGACTGGTTTTTCATCCGGAATAATTTTTCGACGGTCCCGAAACACGGCGAAGGCCCCTGGAGGCCGAACGCGGCGGACAACCTTACGTCGTGATTCTTTCGCATCGCGAGTCGGTCTGGGTCACAATCCGAAGTCGAATCGACATCGGAATCGAACCGAATTCTCGGAGGAACCGAAAGGACCCCTGAGGTGGTAGCCGTGCTCCCGCCGCTGGCTGCCCTGCGCCTGCGCGCCGCAGCGGGACACCCTCCCCGCACCCTGCTGCCCGCACAACCCCGCCTGCAGGTGCACGAGGCCGGAGGCGGTGCTGGACGCCACCGGCACCGGCAGCGCGCACCACTGGGGGCGGGCCAGCTCGGCGAGGGCGAAGGGGGGGCGCGAGGAGAGAGGATGGCGGGGAGGGGGGTTGTGGTGGGGAGGACGCGGAGTGATGATGCGGGGAGTGAAGTTGCGTGTGCGGGGGGGGGGTGATGGTGAGGGAGGGATTGGGAGGGATGCAATGGGGAGGGCTGGTGGCGAATGATGGTGGGGAGTGATGAAGGAGAGTCCGGATGTTGAGGACGAATACGGTGATGACGACGATGGTGGTGATGATCGGGTCCGCATGAAGCAAAACTCGGCGAGGCAGCTGGAGGCAGGGAAGGGCGAGGCTGCCCCTTACTTCCCGACCGCCACCCAGTGCCGCTGTGCAAACATGTTTTGGGCGAGAGGCTCCACCTCCCCGCCTCCCCTCCCTCTCTCCCTCCCTCCTCTCTTCCCTCCCCCTCCCTCCCTGCCTCCCTTACAACCCTCTTCCCTCCCTCCCTCGGCAAGGGAGGGGCCACACAATGGGTGCGAGCTCCGAGGGAGGATCAGGGATGGACGGGAGAGCAGGGGAGGAGGAAGGGCTGCCATCCCTCCCTCCCTCCCTCCTCTCCTTCCCTCCCTACCCTCTCCCCCCTCACTCGCCCTTTCCTCCCTCCTTTCCCCCCGTCCCATCCCCCCCCCCTTCCCTCTCACAACCCTCACTCCCTTTCTCGAAACGGGAATCCTCCCTCCCTCCGTCCCTCCCTCTCTGCCCCTCTCCCCCCCCCCTCCCCTCCTCTCCCCTCCTCCCCTTCGCCACGGCCCCAAGGGCTCCCAGAAGGGACCGGCACCCGCGAACGGGGCCCCTGGGGCGGCCGGAATGGTCGATCCGATCGCTCCCTCGCGCCCGCCCGATTCGGCGAGGGGCCTCACATGAATTATAAATTTATTACTTACTGGGAGGAGAAAGAGGCGGAGGCGAAGGAGGAGGGGACAGCCGCGCAAAAGACGCAGCGGCAGGGGCGGCCCTGCAGGGGAATGGGAGGGAGGGGGAAGGGAGAGGGGGACGGAGGGCGGAGGAGGTCGTCGGCGCGGTCGTGGTGGTCGTGTTGGTGGTGGTCGAGGTGGTCGTGGTGGTCGTGCTGGTGGTGGTCGTGGTGGCCGTGATGGTGGTGGTCGTGGTGGGTGGTAGTTGTGGTGCTGCTGTGGTGGTCGTGCTGGTGGTGGTGATACTGGTAGTCAGTCAGCTGGCGGCTGTGGTGGCCATACTGGCGGCGATGGTCCTGAAAGTCGGCCGGGCTGGTAGTGGTCGTGCTGGTGGTTGGTCACGTGGTGGTGGTGGTGGTGGTGGTCGGCGCCTATCTCCCCAGGGCGCTCAGAATCATCTCCGCACTCCCTTGTTGTAGGGTGCGTGAGATGTCCCGACAGATCCGGCTTAAGATCTCGGACCGGTCGGCATCCTCAAGAGAGGCGCCGTAACTCCGAATGAACCTTACGGCCTCGTCGGACGGCCGCCCCCCCCGGTCTCGAAGACCATCGGGACGAGGTCTAGGCCCTCCCAGGGGGGGGTACCGGCCGCGTTTGGCGTCGACCATCTGGGCTGCTGCGAGTCCATTTCGTTCGGCTCGGGCGCGCCTGCGTGGGGCGTAGGTGGAGTGTACGAAGGTCACCACCCAATCGACGAAGATGGGTCGACCGTTGCTGGGGTCGTGTGTCCTGATGTCCAACCTTGCTTCCTGGAGCACCCCGGTGCGGGGATGGCGGCGATCCCACGCTGGAGCGTGTTGTTCCGTCGGAGCTCCCTTCCCCTCCTCCCCTCCCCCCCTCCCTCGCCCCCTCCCCTCCGCCCCTCCCGCTCCACCGAGGGGCGCCCGAAAAGGCGCCTCCTTCTCCCCCAGCGCCAGCCTGCCGGCCGTGAGCGCCCCCGCCGCCGTGCCGAGCGCCCGGGTGCTGGCGCCGGCCGCGGAGCTCAGCACCTCTTGCGAGGGGCCACCGGGCTCGGCCGGGAGGGGCGGGACGGGCTGCTCGGGGGGCGGGTCTCGCCTCTGTCTCTCTCTCTCTCTCTCTCTCTTTCTCTCGCTCTCTCTGGGGGTTTGGTTTTGCCCCTCCTCCTCGTCCTCTTCCTCCTCCTCCTCCTCCTCCTCCTTCTCCTTCCTCCTCCTTCCTCCCCCTCCTCCTCCTCATCCTCCTCCGCCTCCTCCGGCTCCTCTTCCTCCTTCTCCTCCTCCTCCTCCTCATCCTCCTCCTCCTCCTGCTCCTCCTCTCTTTCTCCTCGTCCTCCTCCTCCTCCTCTTCCTCCTCCTCCTCCTCCTCCCTCTCCTCCTCCTCCTACTCCTCCTCCTCTTCCTCCTCCTCCTCCTCCTCCCTCTCCTCCTCCTTCTCCATCTCCTCCTCCGCCTCTGTGCCCGCCTTTGCCACTGAGCTTCGCTGGACAGCAAAAGTGCACGTCGTTGCTTCTTCCCCGACATAGCCCCCTTCCACTGGGATGGACGCGGGGGGTGCTAAGGGGATGGGGGGGTTACCAGTGGACGCCTAAGGGGTTGTACCTGGTCTAACCTACCTTACAACAAAAAGGGTTGCACATGCCCCAAGTCGCCTAGGGGGATTTGGCAACTCCGCCAAGTGGGCGGAGCCCACTTAGCCTGGATCGCTATCCCCCCCAAAGCTACTTGGGGCATTAGCAGCCCACTCATGAACCAGGTTAGGCCAGATATAACCCACCCTGGCATCCACTGATAGCAACCCTATTCTCTTAGCACCCCCCGCGCAAATCCCAGTGGGATGGACGCGGCTCCGTGCCAAATCGGCTCCTCTACTGGGATTGGCGCGGGGGCTGCTAATCCAGATCCCCTCGCCCAATGAGAAATCACGACAGGAGACTTTTCGCCATTTTCGGTCTCTTGGGGCCCTGACCGGGCCTCGGGGCCGTCAAAAAAACGACTCAGGATGAAAACCGGTCCCAGGGAAGGGGTCCAGACCTCTGGAGGTCGACGTTGTGAAACAATCACGACGTCGGGGGCCTGGGAAGGGGATAGGGGGGTCATCAATGGATGCCAAGGTGGGTTAGATGTGGCTGAACCTTGAGGATTAGTGGGCTGCGAATACCCCAAGTGGCTTTAGGGGGGATAGCGATTCAGGCTGAGTGGGCTCATCCCACTTAGCAGATCTATCTAATCCCACTCGGCGACTTGGGGCATGTGAGTCCCACATGTAAGCTAAGTCAAGCCAGGTATAACCCCTTGGGCGTCCACTGATAACCCCCCTATCCCCTAGCAACCCCCGCTTCCATGACAGTGGAGGGGGGCTTATGTCGGGGAAGAAGCAACGACGTACACTGTTGTCGTCCAGCGAAGCCCAGTGGCACAAGCGAGCACAGAGGAGGAGGAGGAGGAGGAGGAGGAGGAGGAAGAGGAAGAGAGGAGGCGCAGGAAGAGGGAGGAGGAACTGGGGAGAAGGAGGAGGAGGAGGAGGAGGAGGAGCAGCAGCAGGAGAAGGAGCAGGAGGAGGAGGAGGAGGAGCAGCAGCAGGAGGAGAAGGAGCAGGAGGAGGAGCAGTGGGGAAAACCAAGCCCCCAGAGAGAGGCGATACCCAATTCGGATCAGCTAGTCCGGCGGGTCAGGGCGCTAAACAATTCGGAACTAATTCGGACCACCTAGTCGGAAACAATGACATACACATGTCGCGGCCACGTTTGCTATCGACGCGCCCAAATGGCCGACGCCGACACCAACCAAGGCCCGCAGCTAACCACGACAAGCCCTGCACCCGAGGTGGCGTTCACCCTGGTGGCTGAGGCGCCCTCCGCAAGACGGAAGGCCGCGCGCTGGGACAAGCGGCGCGGCGACACATAAGGTAACTGTCGAAGGTCCACGCAGATATCTCGGATCGGCTGTGAAGACCCCCGCGCAGGCGCGCCCTTTGCGCCAAGGAGGGTGGTCCAGCGCCGATCCAGGACATCCGCGCACACCTCCGAAAACTCATGTTTCTTCCCTGATTGTCAGTGGATGCCACGGTGGGTTCCCAGAGATCCGACGATGCAAAACAATTGGAGCGGGCGGTTTGGGGGTGTCTTCGGCCTCCGGGGGCCCTCGCTGGGCCCCAGGACCGTAAACGAGACGATTCAGGACGAAACACGGGCCCTAGGGAAGAAATGGTCCAGACCTCCAGGGCCCACGCATTGGAATAAATGGAGCAGCCGGATGCCATGCTTGTATACGTATATAGAAAAACAAGCCCACGAACATACGTACATACCTGCACATCTATACGTACGTACATACATACATACATGAACGCCTAAGTAACTACATACATACATAATACATACATACATACATACATACATACATACATACATACATGCATGCATGCATGCATACATACATACATACATACATACATACATACATACATGTATACATACTAGAACCACGCGCGCGCTTCGCGCGCGCTTAGGTTCTGTCGAGTCACAGACCCAGGAATCGTTGTGAGAAGAAATTGGTGACGCGAAGCGTCGTGGGGGCGTCCTTGGACGTCTGGGGTCTCCTGGGGCCTCTTGAGGGGCCTCCTGGGGGCCTCCTGGCGGCCTCTTGGGGCGGAAGGCTCGAGCTTGCGGTTCGTGGTCCCCCTCTGGGCCCCCTCTTGGGCCCGTCTTGGGGCCCTCTTGGGCCATCTTGGGCGCCTCTTGGGCCGTCTTGGGGCCCTCTTGGGCTGTCCTGGGGCCCTCTTGGAAGCTTCTTGGGCCGTCTTGGGGCGGTCTTGGGCGCCTCTTGGGCCGTCCTGTAACGTCGGAAAGCCCAAAGGACAACTTTGTTGAAAATGTACGTTTTACGATCGGAATGGGCCAATTTTTGGAGGCGTCTTGGGGCCTCTTGGGGGCGTGCTTGGACGTCTGGGGTCTCCTGGGGCCTCTTGAGGGGCCTCCTGGGGGCCTCCTGGCGGCCTCTTGGGGCGGAAGGCTCGAGCTTGCGGTTCGTGGTCCCCCTCTGGGCCCCCTCTTGGGCCCGTCTTGGGGCCCTCTTGGGCCATCTTGGGCGCCTCTTGGGCCGTCTTGGGGCCCTCTTGGGCTGTCCTGGGGCCCTCTTGGAAGCTTCTTGGGCCGTCTTGGGGCGGTCTTGGGCGCCTCTTGGGCCGTCCTGTAACGTCGGAAAGCCCAAAAGGCGACTTTGTTGAAAATGTACGTTTTACGAAGGGAATGGGCCAATGTTTGCGTCTAGGGGCCCTCTTGGGACGCATGTTGGAGGCTTCTTGGGGCCTCTTGGGGGCGTCCTTGGACGTCTGGGGTCTCCTGGGGCCTCTTGAGGGGCCTCCTGGGGGCCTCCTGGCGGCCTCTTGGGGCGGAAGGCTCGAGCTTGCGGTTCGTGGTCCCCCTCTGGGCCCCCTCTTGGGCCCGTCTTGGGGCCCTCTTGGGCCATCTTGGGCGCCTCTTGGGCCGTCTTGGGGCCCTCTTGGGCTGTCCTGGGGCCCTCTTGGAAGCTTCTTGGGCCGTCTTGGGGCGGTCTTGGGCGCCTCTTGGGCCGTCCTGTAACGTCGGAAAGCCCAAAAGGCGACTTTGTTGAAAATGTACGTTTTACGAAGGGAATGGGCCAATTTTTGCGTCTAGGGGCCCTCTTGGGACGCATGTTGGAGGCTTCTTGGGGCCTCTTGGGGGCGTCCTTGGACGTCTGGGGTCTCCTGGGGCCTCTTGAGGGGCCTCCTGGGGGCCTCCTGGCGGCCTCTTGGGGCGGAAGGCTCGAGCTTGCGGTTCGTGGTCCCCCTCTGGGCCCCCTCTTGGGCCCGTCTTGGGGCCCTCTTGGGCCATCTTGGGCGCCTCTTGGGCCGTCTTGGGGCCCTCTTGGGCTGTCCTGGGGCCCTCTTGGAAGCTTCTTGGGCCGTCTTGGGGCGGTCTTGGGCGCCTCTTGGGCCGTCCTGTAACGTCGGAAAGCCCAAAAGACAACTTTGTTGAAAATGTACGTTTTACGAAGGGAATGGGCAAATTTTTGCGTCTAGGGGCCCTCTTGGGACGCATGTTGGAGGCTTCTTGGGGCCTCTTGGGGGCGTCCTTGGACGTCTGGAGGCCATCTTCAGCATCTCGGAGCCCTCTTGGAGGCCTCCTGGAAGTTTCTTGGGCCGTCTTGGGCGCTCCTGGGGCCGTCTTGTCTGACCGTGGAGGCCTCCGGCAAGCCCCGACGAGCCTCCGGGCCCCCCGGAGCCCACATTTGTGGTCGAGGTCCCGGCCCCGGGCCCCCGGACCCGGTGCGCCGTTATATGTATACATACATACATACATACATGCATACATACAGACATACATACAGACAGGCGCACAGACAGACAGACAGACAGACAGACAGACAGACAGACAGACCGACAGACAGACAGGCAGGCTGGCAGACATATATACACGTACATACATGCATGCATATATATACATATATGCAATTATAAACACATACATACACATACACCCATACGTAAACACATACATACATACACACAAACATGCCTGACTGTATACATAAATACACACACGCATACATACACACGCATATATACATACATACATACATACATACATACATACATACATACATACATACATACATACATACATGCATGCATGCATACATACATACATACATACATACATAAATACATACATGCATGCATGCATACATGCATGCATGCACACATACATACATGCATACATGCATGCATGCATTCATGCATACATACATACATACATACGCATACATACATACACACATACATGACTGCATACACATATATATATATACACATACATACATACATACATACATACATACACACATACATACATACATCCATACATAGATACATACATACATATAGGCATGCATACATACATACATGCATACATGCATACATACATACA